CGGATTTTTATAATTTGAATTATTTTAGTGCATTACGATATCCAAAAGTGACACATCTAATCGTCTATAGTCACATTTTAAATTGTCCTATAGTTCTCTTATAAATTTATGTTAATTAAATTTCGGAGATCAGTGCTGTTTCGAAGGCCGCATTTGAAATTTGTTTAATCGGAGAAGACACATTTCTATAATTTTGGAAATCTTTTTTTGAATAATCACTGATTATACAGAATCAAAATATTCTTTAAAAATATTTTAAATAAATTTTTAAATTTGGAAATCCTTTTTGTTCAAATAATCGCTGATTATTCGGGATAAGAATATTCTAAAAAAAAAAACATTTGAAGTACATTGATAAACTTGGAAAGCATTTTATTAAATAATTGCTGATTATACAGGATAATAATATTCTGAGAAAAAATTTAAAATACATTGATAAATTTATACATCTTATAACTTGATAAACTTATAAAATTTATAAACTCTATAAATTCTAAAAAATCACATTTGATATATATTAATAAAATCAGAAATCGCTTTTCTAAAAAAAATATTTAAAATATTTAATGTGCATTGACTTAATTGTGGTAATTGGAGTGCAGTTTAGACATTCGTTATTGTAAAAATAATTAATCAGAGTGAATTTACCTAAATTTTAATAAATTTAGAGTTCATTTTATAAAAAAAAATACTGCTTACACAGGATATATATTTCCCCTTAAGGTAAATTTTTTAAAAAGTTTAATAGTTTTCCCGACGATTTATATAATTTGAATTTTCGAGATTAGCGCTAAGAAGACCATTTTTGCGAATTCAATTAACCGAAGGAAGCATATCTTTATATATACAATATATATACGTATATATAAATTTAAAAACCGCTTTATTGAATAAGCGATCTTAATACTGTGGAGAGGTATTTTATAGTAATTAACTCAAATTTTAATTGACCAAAACCGGCAAAATGGTAAGTCTTTAACTGTAATACATAAATTAGAAAAGCAACAACAATATCTGTTCCAAAGTCGCGCTTCGAATTTAAAATCAACGATCATAAAAAAATATATATAGATGCTCCTGCGTTTTGATTAAAATTAAAATTATCAGCAAAAAATACATGTTCCATATATTTGCCTAAACATACTAAACATATATGTATTCAAAACTTATGCCAACAACATAATCTTCGATAATTTAGATTTGCCATTATTTATTGGTTCCTGTATTTTAACAGATGAATCATTGTACATACACTTTGCGATATACATATATCTCCAGAAAGATATGCTATTGTCGCTTGAATTGAATTAAGGGTGTGGTCTTATTATATTTTTATTTTTATTATTATTATATTTCAAATTTGCAAAAAAAAACATACTTAAGAATGCAAATTCTTGAGAATTCTTTCTTTGTATCTATCACCTTAAACTATTATCAAGTAATTATATTTTTTTTAGAGGAAATACTTCCTCTGATTAAAACGTACACACAAGATATCATAAAAAATTGGCGAGATTCACATTCAAACCACAATTTCTAGATATATAATTATAAACTTAAAGTTTTATTTTTATAATATAATAATATCACTAATACACCAATGCAAAATACAAATAAAAAAAAAAAATAAAAAAAAAATTAAAAAATAATTGGAAGGTTTCGAAAAAAAAAAAAATATTTTGGGGTTATAATCAAATTTAGTTAAATTTGATTAAAAAAAAAAACTAAAATATGAAATATTAAAAATAAAATCAATATAACTGCATAAAATTAAATTAAATTAATTTAATTGAAATATATAGCTTTGAACAAATCTTAATACAGTGCTGCGCAAAAGTTTAGGACCGACCAAGCTTATTATTTTCTAATACAACTGTTTTTAAAGAAAAACAACACAAAGTACGGGAAAGTTTTTTCCGAACTAAACTAATTTTTAAATAAAGTATACAAAACTAAAATAAAATAATATTAATCAAGTTTTCTACATTGATTATTTATTATATATATTTAAAGCAAAAAGCAACTGCACACAAATTTAAAACCATTCCATCCTTTTAAAAAAATATCCTTCAGCTTTAATTCTGCTATTAATTCTATGTAGAATTATGAAGACATTATGAAGACTAACACTATCCATTCTTTTAAAAGATATTCTTTTAATTCAATCACTCTTTTGAGATGTATTTTGCAACCCGGTTAACCAGTGTTTTTCACACACTTTCAATAATGTTAAGAACAAGAACATATAGGTGATATGCGAAATTACCTCCAATTCATTCTTAAAAGGTCTATAGGTCTTATATGGTTTAGGAACGCTGTTTTCACTTCAGATTAATTTACTACTTAGTTAATTGTAGATTTTTCTTAATCACAGGTTAGGAATCTCTTTTTAGTTAACCAATGATTAGCAAAATTTATAACAGTTTTTCTCTTAAAATGAATGATTTTTCTTTGTTTTAATATTTTGGTTCGAAGATATTTTATATTAAATAAATTATTTTAAATTTTATTAAGACATTAGAATTAATGTTTTAATTGAACCTTAATTATTAGTTTAAGTAAATAAAAAATTTATTTCTATTTATTATATTATTATAGATACTACTATATTATCATTATTATTTTATATATTATTAAATTATATTACATTATATACAATTTTATAATTGTTATGAATTTTATTTAATGCAAAAATATTTTCGGCCAGTTAATTAAATTTCCTGTTAGAGAACCTAACCATAGTCTTTTCGGTTGATAAATAGTTGAATGGAATCTATATCCGATTAACCAATGTTTAAAGTTAACCAGAGATGAAAATAACGACCTGTAATATCGTAAGAACTATACACTTTTTATAGTTGTGATCACTGATTAGCTATCATATCAGCTGTGGTAAAATACATCCGCCGACTTTGCTTACCTGATAACGGTATTTATTCTACTTTGTTCTCTCATAAAATCTTATTTAATGTAGAAATTGTACAACTTGATACTTAACACTTTTAAGACTCTCTCTCTTGAAAAAGGAAGAGAATTTTTTGAAAGAGTGTCTAACTGTTGTATATTGTGACAAGGGAACCTGTTTTATTATGTTTTTTGATGAAGGGCCGCTGGACGCATATTTTCCGATATGTGTTCAGTTTGTAATATCACGTTAAGATTTGCCTGCTCCCTTAAGAGCGCTCATCTTTAACATTGTGTTATTACTTTACATAAGAAAACAACTGAAAAGAAACTACTTTTATAATGTTTAAGCATTTATATTAAAATATAAAATATTTTATATTAAAATATAAAAATTTTTATGTTAAATTATAAAAAACTTATATTAAAATACAAAAAATATTTTTATATTAAAATATAAAAAATATTTTTATATTTAAATATATAAATTAAATTAATGTGTCGAACTTAATTTTACATCAGTTTTTGTCAAAAAAGCTAATTGATAGTTTGTTTTCAAAATACAGTTCTGACTCGATACTTTCACCAGTTATGAAGTATTGTCTATTTCCACCATGGAAAAATTTACATATTCAAACGAATATTAAAAAACACTGAGAAAAATTTTAAGTATAATTTAATTGCGATGCATCTAAATACAGCCATATACTATGATGTTCACACCTAACTCAATATCAAATGGTAAAACTACACATTTTCCGATAATTTTATTCCAGACCTGTTTAAATGGTCTAGAATAAAGTACTTCGTATTTTACACAAGCAAAAATTTTTAATAGCACAAATCTTTAGAAAATACTTCGGTTTGTACACTTGTAAGCATAATGATTTGCTTTTAGTAAATGTAAGCGGTAAGTGGTTTTTTATTTTACTTTTTTAATAAAAAAATTTTACTGCAAATAATTAAAATTCTGAGATTATTAATTTTATTATAACAGGTCTATAGGTCTATAGGTTTTATATGACTTAGGGACGGTCTTTTCAGCTCCGGTTAATTTACTAGTACGTTAACCATAATTTTTTTAAATCATTGGTTAGAATTCTCTTTTTAGTTAATCAATAAAATTAGCAAAAATTATAGTCATTTTAAAATGACTGATTGGTTAACAAAATTTTTTTTGTAAAAATTCGGTTTGAATGTATTTTATATTAAATAAAATATCTTAAATAATATTAAGACATTAAATATAAGATTTTAATTAAGCGTACTATTTATTAGTTTAAGTAAACCAAATATTTTTACTTATTATATATACTACTATTTCATTATAAGTACTATTTTTTATATTAATTACTCTCAAGAATTTTATTTAATATAAAAATATTTTCAGCCTGTTATAATCTTCAGTTATAGAAACCTTACCAGTTTTTTTTTTTTGATTGATGAAGATAATTGTAAACAATACCCGGTTAACCAACGTTTTAAAATAACCAGAGTTGAAAATATCTGCCTGCAATGTTATAAAAACTGTATAGTAGTTATACTTGTGATCATTACCTAGCTATACTATCTCCGGATGTTTCCAATTACATGCGTCGAGTTAGTCTTATTGACAAGAGTACTTGTCCATCGTGAATCATCTGCAGTATATGTTTTTTTCTTATGTAAAAATTAGATTCTTATTTTTCTTTAATATAGAGTTTTTGTAATAGAACAAAATTTTTGGAAGGAATGGGTGTTACAGTGATTTAACTACTGTGATTCTATTTACAAATCATTCCTTCGTGGTGGTTTTAGTGGGTTAAAGTCTCACACGGCGGCTTTCGATGCTTTCCACCACTACAAAACAAAAAAAAAAAAATTGATAATGGATTTACATCCTATAAGCAGCTTTTTCTTATTTTCTCCAACTGAAATTATTTAGAAATGAAATAAAAGATTTTTTTCTGTTTTGCTTTTAATAGCGGCCAAACACGGCATCGCCTCATTTACTTATCATTTTGTTTGTTTTTCAAATATTTTTCATCCAACTTCAAATCTTACTTCATTGCAAATATTTATTTGTTTCTTTTTTGTTTTTTAAAATTTGTGTCTCTCATTTCAATTATTTATTAATATAATTATCATTTCATGTAAATTACTTTTAAATATTGTTTCTTGTATAATTGTTGTAGTTATAATAACTGCTGATATTTTTTTTAAATAAGTTTATTGCAACTGGTGCATTTGCAGCATATCCTAAAACAATTACTTAAAAATTGTTGTTGTTAAATATGCCGACTCCAAATCTGCACAAAAAATTTCTTGTTACTGTTGATGGTTGTCAACTGTTGTATATTAAAAATAATAATCTCATATGTGTCGTCGTAGTAGATGATTGACAGCCGAAGCTGAGGCATTTAGTCAGGCATCATTTGGTCCACAAACGACCACAACGCCAGGTGTGCAATTAGGTCCACATTTCGGTGTATAAACAGTAGCATTAGGATCTAAGTTTGAGCTGCCATTGCCAGGTGGTGGACCCGGCACCAGTACAGCTGTTGCAACAGATACGGGCACAATACCAGCACATTGTTGCGGATGTTGATTGGTAACATAACTGGGCGGCGCTTGTTGCACATATTCACCGACTGAACTGGGTGCAAGACGTGCATTAAGTTGATGGCCTACTGGTCCGTTAACCTGTTGAACACTTAAGCTATTCAACATAGGCGATGACGGTCCAGGTCCCGTTTGCAATGGTGGTGTGTCGTTCATGCGTAGCATTTGGCTGGCACCAGTTGAACTGCAAACAGGCAAACATAGAGAATCCGTTGGCATAACGGCAAGCAATTGAGCTATTTTTGCTTTTAGATCAAAAACTTCATCTTCCTTACTGCGATAAAGATCTAAAAGAAATTAAAAATATAAAATTAAAATTTCATTCAAATATTAATTAATAATAAAAAAATTTATATAATTACTTTCTGATAATTCAAGTTGTCGTTTAGCATCTCCTAGAGCTGAGAATAAGTCCAGCTTAACTCTCGTTTCTGCAGAAAGATTTTTCTCTAGTGTACAATTTTTATCTTGCATTGCTTGCAAGGCGTTCATTAACACCTCAGTGCCTGGTTGATTTGAATCACGATTACGAATTTCAGCTTCAAACATACGAAGCTATAAAACAGAAAAAGTTTCAAATAATAGGGGTTTATATAAAAATTTTAAAAGCATAAAAAAAAGTAGTTAAAATAATAATATTTATAATTATAATTAATAATAATAATTATTCTTATTATTATATATAATTAATACCATGTTTCCACTTGTCTCATTTAGGCGGTTTTGCTCGTTAAGGCTACTGAGAATAATTACCATACAAAGAACCTTCATATAAATGAGGCAATTAGTACTAAATCAACTGATTTGAAGCGAAAAATGACGAAGGTAACTCGTAAATATAAATTTTCCACAAGCATAATTTCCCACATGCATAAATCAGCTTATGCCAATAGAAACGACCAAAATTTAATTTCATTAACTTAGATAGTTTTAGCTGCAGTGGAAACATGATATAACTTATAAATATTATAATTAAGTATTTAATAATAAATATATACAATTGAACTGATAATAATATTTATTATAATTAGAAAAAATAAATTATTGTTATAATAACATTTTAAAGCATATTAAATAACAAAGTTAACAATATAGTGTATAGTAAAAATTTTAACTACAAAATTTAATAAATATTTGAAATTAATTTTTGCTAAATTAACTCTCAATAATTATCTATGGTAATTACGAATATTATAATATTTATATTTATTTATATTTTATTCATTCATTTACATTATATTTATTTATATTTATATTTTTATTTATATTTATACTTATATTTATATTATATTATGTTATACAATTATATGATATATAAAAAAAGAAATTGAGAAACAATTAAAACAAACCTCTTGCTCCCATTGTCGTCCTTGTTGTTCAGCCATTTGTTTTGACTCCTCCGCCGCTTTCACATCACGCCGCAGCTGTTTAATTTCTTCATCCATTTGCTGTTTACGCTGCTTACATTGGGCACTGCATTCTGGCCTAGCAGCTTTTTCCTCAGCCAACTTTCGTGCCTTTTTCTCATTGTTCAATTGAGCTTCGAGAGATTGCTTCTGTCGTCGTTCATCATTCAAACGACGTTCAGCAGTTTGTAATTGTAACGTATCAGCATGACGAGCACTAGTCAATTCATTGATACGTTTTTCCAGTTCATCGCAATCCTTTTGTTTGGCCTGCAAACAGGATTTTGTTGTGAGATTTGATTCAAGTTTCTGACGCAATTCGTTCTCGATTTGCTTTTGATGGCTAATTTCTGAACGACATTTTTTGATGTCTGCCTCGAGTTTGAGACATGATTCGCAAATTTTCGACACCACCTTAGAGGCTATATTCGAAATAGTTAATGATGCTGATGATGATGATGAAGTGGAACTAGATGATGAGACCGATGATGCATCTGAATTGTTATTATTGTTATTAGTGTTGCTATTGTTGTTATTATTATTACTGCTATTGTTGTTATTATTATTATTATTATGAGAGTTAACATCCTTGTTTTGCTGTTGTTGTGTATGTAAATGATTTGAAGTTGAATTACTATTATAACTATTATTATTATTATTATTATGATGTTGATGATGATTGTCCTTGGAAGCATTGTCTTTTTTAGAGCGATTTCGGCGTCCTAAAATTATAATTTGAAATTTAAAAAATTATAATACAAGTAAGAAAAAAAATAAATAAATAAATAAAAACCTTTAGTTTTTTCAACTGGTTCCACTACTATAACATCATCCATATCATATTGTGATATATTACCGTTGGCCACAACTGGCGTTGTATTGCCGAACGCATTTTGTGAATTAGCTTTCTTTAAGGAACTGCTATGCGAACCTAAACGATGTTCATCTGTAATATATTATATGTATATTATATTTACTGGATGGAAGATTAATAGAAAATGTAATATTACCACTTTTTTCTTTAGAATTATGTTGATGCGTTTGGTTAACTTGATAGTTGTTGCTTTCACTGTCTGTTTTGTCCTTATTGTTATTGTTATTGTTGTTATTGCTATTGCTATTATTAGAATTATCAGAATTATATTGCTGATAGTTACTGGATTTGTTGTGCTTTGATTCATTATCACCAATAGCGCTTCCTCTATTTTTATCTTTATCAACACTGCGACGGTGGCTTTTGGAGTTAGCTCCAATATAACCATTTGATGTCGCTATAAAGAAATAATTAATATTATTATGATTTTCTAAATATTACGAAATACAATTAATAGTAAACAAAAAGTAATTATAATTTATAATTTATCAATCAAAAATGAATTATAGTTGATAGGTAAAAAATAATTTGAAATTTAAAATTTGAACTATAAAATATGTAGGTAAGCATAAGAAATGGAATATAAAATTTGGATATATATTTTTCCCTATTTCTGAAAATAATTTAAATGCTATTATTAATTTTTTTATCATACTTTATGAATTTAAGACTACTCAAGCAAACTTCAAAATCTGGTACAAAGTAAGAGGTAAGTGTGTGATGAATACTACTAAGCAGATCTGCAAACAAACATTAATACCGGTTCTAAAATTGTTAATGTTCCGTTACGTGCCATAATAAACAGAAGACACACTCTCCCCGAATTGATAACAGCTGTATTTGGCCGCTTCTAAGCATGGAAAAAAACAACAAGTCTCTTGTTAAGGTCTCCAATTTTTACGCAAACAAATCACAAGTCTTTTGTTCTAATGGACTAGTTATAAACTCTCTAATCAACTAAGAGACTGAAGAAAAATTTTTTATCAAAACGGTAAGCAATCTAATCTGAATTTTCTTTTAAAGCTTAATAAAAATTCTATTCATTGATAAAAAATTGTAAGTAAACAAAAATTTAAAAAAAATTAAAAAGTAATGTTTTAAAAATAAACAAAAATTGTGGAAAATAAATATAAAAAGAAACAAAATTTTTTTAAAATAAAGTCTAATTAAAAACAACATTTAGTTTTTTAACTTCTTAGTTACTAACGAGTTAATGTTAGTTTTTAATTTTTTAAACAAGGGAAAGGGTAAGTTACATCAATACTCTTAAGGTTCCCATTAGGTCTATTAACCCATGCGCTGAGCAATAATAAATAATATGTGAGGTACTTTATCGCCCACTCTGCAACGGTGATAGGAATTATTATAAGGGAGTTCCAATCTTCTAGCATTGACCCTTAATCGGCGGTGACCCGTGAGCAGACCTATTACATGACTGATATATTTACGGGGCATCTCAATGAGAGTACTCGATTTTACCTCAACAGAACGTGGTCAACTCACATACATATGCATATATTACTTTAAGTCTTCCCATCTGTTATTTTAAAGTTCAGCACAGTAAGAATTTAATAAAAATTTGCTTGATGTCAATGATAGCCTAGAGTTTTAAGGTGTTTTGAGTGTTTATCTAAATTACTCTGTCTGGTTAGCTCGTCTATTTTGCAATTGCCGAAAATATCCCTATGACCGCGTCATAGGGATATTTTCCATAGGTCCCATAGGTACCCATTTTAAACTCCGTCGACACCTCCTTTTTGTGATGTTTAGCAAACAAAAACCGTCCCGGATTTAAATTGGACTAATCTCAAGAACTTTAAAGCAACCTGACAGATAGTATATTA